GTATACCTTCGACTTGATGATTTCCATTCCTTTGGATATATTCCCAGCAGTGGGATAGCTGGGTCATATGGTAGATCTATCTTCAGCTGTTTGAGGAACCTCCAAACCAATCATGCACTTTTCACTCCATGAAATCAGATGGTGGATTCTCGTAGACACTCTAATACAAGATGACATTTTCATGGTTATGAAAGTTGGGATGCTGACTTATCTGCATTAGACCAAGAGAGAAGGCACACCTGTATTTCTTTTCCAAGATTTCTAGCTTGATATTTTCAAGTCAAGTTAGCAAAATCCTATTGTGGCCAAGGAAAGCACATGCTAGAAGCGATGCAATGGTGAAATGTTCCTTTGGTGCCATCATCGTAGATCGCATGTTCTAGTGGGTTGAGTGACGGTGGCGAGCATGATACTAAAAAATATTCCAAATCTACCATCATGAGTGCTTTAATAGGAAAGTGCAGGGAGTACATAGGAGGAGAAACGTAAACATTTGAGAAGCAGGAAATGTTTAGAGGTTCCTGCAGAGGCCTGAGGTTAAGATCTGATGGTCAGTTCAAGAAACTGAAAGAAGTTTAGTACAGCTGGAGGCTTAGTGCAACACAAGCAACGTGGCCAGAAATGAGCCTGAAGAGCTAAGTAGAGCCCATATCATGAAGGGGCTTATCAGCCAAATTATGGAGTTCAGCTTTGTCTTGAGAGCCACTGGGGGCCATGAAGAGCTTCAAGCAGGAAGATGATCAGGCTTCCATGTTAGACAGTTTACCCAGGCTCCGTGAGGACAGGCCATTGGGAGGATGGCTAGTTTAGGGGCTGCTGCAGCAATTCCAGAAATAGATAATTATGACATGGACCACGGTTATAGTAATGAGATGAAGAGAAGTAGACACATTAGAAAATGGTTAAGAAGATTTGTTTGGATAATATTTTGTTGGGGGCGGGGATGACAACAGAGGCAGCACCCATGGCAACAAAGTCTTTAGGTGAATCAGTTGCATCAACAGTGAAACAGGATATGCTAGAGGAGAACAGACTTCGGAGATAAATGATGAGTTGAGCTTTGTGCCCACCGAGTGTGAGGGGTCTGAGGAGCATTCAAGTAGAGATGCCCAGGAAGCAGATGGTGCTAAGGGATCGGATTTTTGTAGATGAGGTCACACAGGGAATGCACACAGAACAAGGTGAAAAGAGGGTTCACAGCAGAACTCTGGGGAACATCAACTTCTAAGGGCTGAGAAGAGGAAGTGAAGCAGTGTGAAGGGGAAACTGAGAACACAGCCAGAGAGCAGTAAGAAAACCAAAAGAGTCTGTCTTCATGGACCACAAGGAGAGGTGGCATTTAAGAAGTCACCAGTATCTAAGGCTGCAGAAAACTCAGTAAGATGAGTCCTGGGAGGGACTCATTGGATTTAATGGTGGGGAGGCTGTTGGGGAGAACGGGGCCAGAGGTTACAGGGCAGACTGCAGAGAGTAAGGTGAGGGGAGTAGAGAGTAAGAAAGTGGAGATGATGATTATACAAAATCCTTTTTTAAGAAGTTAAAGAGAGGGGAAGGAGTAGATTGGGCCGATAGGGAAAATGTGGCTGAAAGATTTGGATATTTGAGCTATGCTTTATTTTTGGTATGGCAGACTGAACTGTGTGTAAGTACAGATACAAAGAAGCAGTAGAGAAAGAGATGAAGATACAGAAGACAACAAATGGAGGATGGGCAAGGTCACCAAGGAGGCAGAAGCCCTTGGGGGCCAGATGCTAGCAGAAGGATGAGAAGGAGGAGGAGGAAGTGGCTGAGAGAAGAGCAAGGGGTGGAAGTGGATAGGTCTATAACACGGCAGCGGGGAGCTCTGGGAGTTGTCTTTGATGTTGGCCTTCTCTTTCCTGGGAAGTAGGAGGAGAGGCCATCTGCAGAGAGACACGGAGAGCAGACACGGGGAGGAGACGCAGGTGCTTGGAGCACCAAGGAGAAAGTAGCATATCAGAAATTGCCTCTCCAGAAAACAGGAGAGTAAAAGCTCAGTTGGGAACACAGGATTGCCAGGTAACATAAAGGGCCCATTAATTTATCCTGGAACCAATCTATCTTGTATAATATTCTATCCCAGTCTACAGTTACCAGATACGAAAACAAATGCCTGACAGATCTTGGGGGATGACATCATGAAATACAACATTTTGTGAAACAATTAGTTTATGAGACTTCTTCATGACCCGAGCAAAACATCCCCACAAGAATATTCCAAATTCATTAAGCAACCCCAAGAAGAGTAAATTTTTTCCCCAATATCCCGAACCTAGGAAAGTAGGGTAGACTGGCCAGTGCATGTAGCTGTTCTAACTACTAGAAAGATATTGCTCCATTAATATGATAATAATTGATTAAGTGTTTTCTGGGTTATACATTAATCCCTATGTGACTGTTTAGTATGATTACTAACATGAAGGTTCGTTAATTCTTGGGAAATGACAAAATGAAATATCTAGAGTTGCAAAACTCACCAACAGACCTAGAAGGTGGCGACTACACCAAAGATCCCACCATACCTCTTGCTTCATTTAATCTTGAAAGGTATGTTTAAAAAGACAATCACAGACTGAGTTGTTACCAAAGACATTGGTTCTGTACTGTTGTACTTTCTTTCGAAGTTGGGGGCTGTTACAACAGTGAGTTCTCTGAGCAGAAAAATCTTCAACTGGAGAACAGAAACCATATTCCTGCTCCTGGTGATGCATCTGGTTGCTAAACTTCTCAAAGGTTTTGAAACAGCTATGTTCAAGCCACTTTGGGAAAGAAACCAATAATTCCAAAGTGTCTTGAGCCCTCTTGGATCTGAAGGGAAAAGGAAAAGGAAGAGAAGCTAGGACGAGGGGAAAGGAAAGAGTATTTTGTGGAAAAATAGTCATTGGGGATCATGTTTTAGTGCCAGTTTTGTTACTTACCAGCTATGCAAATTCAAGCCTTTCAGTTGCTTCTTCATAAAAGGAGGAGCCTGGGACTGTATGATGCTTTGGCATTTAAAAGAGTGTATTTTTATTAGGAAAATTAGAGAGTTTGGACTAGGTGATATTATATTCCAAATCAATACCCACTAACAGGACTTAACTTGCCTATTGCCATGAATTATTTAGCAAGTGAGATCTTTACACTCATACTCAAAGTCTACACTAATGACCTGGTAATTATTTTAATTGATTTTCAATGAACTGTTGACTACTCCGTTGGCATACCAATAAAGTAAGAAACACTGTGAGTGCTGATTCTGTGCCTCATATTTATATCTTTCTGCTATAATTCTGAATGGAAATTGGCATACCCAAATAAATATTTTTGTGTATGTTTACTAGAATTTTATCATAGAACATTTGTAGTGCTTTAAGAAGTCCTAATTTGGGCCGAGCCTGTGGCGCACTCGGGAGGGTGCAGCGCTGGGAGTGCAGCAGTGCTCCCGCCGCGGGTTCGGATCCTATATAGGGATGACTGGTTCGCTCACAGTGCTCACTGGCTGAGCGCGGTGCGGCCGGTCTCAAAAAGGACAAAAATAAAAATAAAAATAAAAAAAAGAAGTCCTAATTTGGATTTGTGTGAACAGAGGAAAAACTCTGATATGAAATCATAGAATTTTTTTTTTCCTTTTTGTCTTTTTTACTGACCAGCAACGGGATCACAACCCTCGGTGTCGCGCCCGTACCGGGGACCAGCAACGGGATCGCAACCCTCGGTGTTGCGCCCGCACCGCACTCAGCCAGTGAGCGGGAACCGGTCTCCACATGGGATCCGAACCCCCGGCGGGAGTGCCGCTGTGCTCCCAAGCGGCGTGCTCTCCAGTGCGCCACTGGGCCGGCCCTGAAATCATAGAATTTTGAAGCTGATGGAATTTTGGAGAACATGCAATTCATTCCCTAACAGGAACTCTGAAACATGTGAACAAAAAGATTACATAATGATATTCTTAGCAGAATTATATGTGACAGCAAAAAATCAGAAACAATTTTAATGTGCATAAATTGGAGAATGAACATATAAATTGCAGCATATCCACATAATAAAATATTATCTAGCAGTTAGGTAAATGAATTAGAGCTACATATATCGGTATAAGTAAATCTTGCAAATTTACCATTGAGTGAATAAGCAAGCTGCAAAAAGTAATACACAGATAAACACCTTTTGTATAAGGCTATAGATATGAAAAAGAAATACACACATGTGTTAAAAAATTATAGAGACATGCACAGGAATGTGGTGATAGACATCAAATTTAGGATGGTTGATTACCTAAGGAAAGCAAGAAAGAAGGTATGGAAATGGAGAAGAAAAGAAACCAGAATCTGGGGGGATTAATCATTTTGTTCAAGGATACAAAACAGGTAGAAGTTAGTAGCTAGAGCTCAGTATTTTCTGCTATGAAATACTACCTCCAAAATGGAGAGCTTCTGAGACTTTATCACTATCTCCTTTAGACAGAAAATGATAGCCACCTGAAGTCTAACACTGTAGGAGATCTTAAAGGTATCTTAAAGTCATCTTGCATGATTCCTTATTCAACATTTGACTTTTCCTTACAACATGTCGGCTAAATGGTGATCCATCATTTGTTAAAAACTAAATATGCAAAAGGAAAAATAAACTTGTCCAGGTAACACATTTCTGACCTCAAAAAAGGCATTTCAGGATACTCCTAGAAAAAATCCCCACCCAACCCCAAACCAAGCACTTTAATTTCTGAAAAATCCAAAGTTACACACCAGCCTCCCTTGTCTTCCCTAGCTTAGGTGAGCTGAACTTTGGGTGTGGATTCATTCATTCAGCAAAGATTCACTGAGCATCTGCTATGTGTCAGGTGCTGTGCTAGGTGCTAGGGCATAGTACTAAACAGGCAGCATCTTGCAGTTGGTGGTGTAAAATGAAGTATAAACAGTGAAGGAGGATTGTTTTGTGCCATCTACTGCTTTATCCTCTACTGTAAGAGATGAATAGAGCTAATGGGGTCCATTATGAGGCTCCTCTGAAATTCGATAACCCTTCTCTCAGAAAGACGGCTGCTCACTGAGGGTGGGAAAGAAATTTAAGGAAGAGCAGGAACAGTATTGAATGTTGGAAGAAGTGGATCCAGGGACCTAAACACTTGCTGGGGCTCTCTGCTCCTCTCTTCTTGTCTACTTTTCTTCACTCTCTCTCTACAGCCTAGCATCTTCAGCTGCTTTGGTCCACATG